ATAATCAAGTGACACAACATTTAAAAAGGAATACAGAAAAAATTAAACGTTTCATGGACAGATCTCCATTTAAGATCTCACAATTATAACATCTATCAAAACTTAGTCGACTGAAATTTAGCAATTCCGTTGAGAAAATTGTAAAGTGACAAATCTGACGATATATGTCACATTTATTACCGACCGACGACTCCGAAAAGTCCAGGTCGTCCACCGAGAATTTTCTTCGGATGACCACGGTGATCGCGATACAAATCCGCCCATCGCTGCTTCACAAGATACTGCTGCACGTCAAGCTAAGCTGTAAGCTCCCGCCAGTCTTCCATAGCCAATTGATCCATGGCCGCCACGGCAGGAAGCACCGCAGGTTCGTCGTCGCCGCGCACCAGCTTCGTCGCGGACTCCCTGATCCTCCCCACGCGCAACGGCAGCCTCTTCGCGTCCGCCTTCGCGCTCGTCTACGCCCACACCTTCGTCTCCCTCTCCGTCGCCCTCCTCTACGCCCACCCCCTCGCCGCCGCCGTCCTCGTCCACGTCGGCGTGCTGGCCAGGGAGGACGACGGCTACGACTTCTACGCGGCGGAACGCGACGAGGAGATCCGGGGACACGCAAAGAAGCTGCTCCTCCTCTACCTCGCGTACCTCGCCAGCCAGCTCGTCACGCGGGTCGCCGTCGCGCTCGCCGCCTCCGCGACGTGCGCCGGCGACCGGCGCCCGCGCTCGCTGGCCGAGCTCGTTGCCGCAGGCAGGATCCGCGGCACCTTGGCCACCGCCGCCCTCGTCGCCGTCCTCCAGCTCGCGTCGTCCGCGGCTCTCCTCGCGGCGTGCCTCGCGTCCTGGTGTTGGTGGACGCGCGGCGCTGCTGCCCGGTCGGACACGGCCGCCGCCGTGTCGTCTTTCGTGTCAGGCTACGTGCTGTTCCTCCTTCTCCTCGCTCTCCTCTCGCACATCTTCCTCGCCGCGGTATTCCAAGTGGCGATCGCCGCGTCGGCGGCAGATGAAGGTTATGGTGAACGCGGAACGTGCGCTGCTCTCCGGCGGGCGTGGCGGCTCATGGCCGCGAGGGCGATGAGGAAGGAGGCCGCCGTGATGCTGCTCGTGGCGAGCCTCCTGCCGGTTGTCATCTACCCGGTGTACACGTTCGCCGTGTACTGTTTGCAGAGCGGCGTCTGTGTCTGCAACACCCCTGTGCTCGGTGTCGTCCATGGATATCTTCTCCCGTCCGCCGGCGTGCAGCTCTACTCCACGGTGGCGGCCACCGTGTTCTATCACCGATTCACGGAGCATCATTATGAATCTGTCATGCCATTGACGATGAAACAAGCTAGCTAGGTCAATCCTCTGGTCTGAAGATATACGATAGTACTCATTTGGATACGGAAAAACGAGACTGATTGAGTGTTTGGTGTAAGGAGAAAGGTGTAACAGCTCCCGGGTGCCCCTACACCCTCATGAACAGTATTTTTGTAAAAAATTCAAAAAGTTCAAAAAAATCTGAAACTTTCAGGGATCAAAGATGTTCAAAAATTTGATTTTCTTGCAAAGTTTCAGCAAGAAATAACTTTCGTGCAGCCCTCACCACAAAAAAAACAAAATCATTGCTCAAAAATGTACATCAACTTTGAACAATGATTTTAGATTTTTAGGTGAGGGCTCCTCGAATGTTATTTTTAACTAAAACTTTTCAAGATCATCAAAAGTTTGATCAAGTTTGATGTCCCAAAGTTTCAGATTTTTTTATTTGTGTAGGGGCACCCGGGTGCTGAAAATTCTCTCTCGTGGTGTAAGTTGATAGACATGAGTGCCAATTTGGGCTCCATGAATCTCTTCCGTTTCTACAATGGTAAATGCTTTTAGAGTTCTTACAAAATCCTCTTGATTTTTTTAAACAACTCCATTGAAGAAATTGAGTCCAGTACATCAAAATATAGAGACAGAAAGTAAAGTGAATAAATAGTAGATTTAAACTAATTATTGCAGCATCATAGCTAACATTGCAGCATCTCTAACATAGTCGGAGGTTCATCACTCAGCAAAATGACACACCCAAATTGCATATGCAGAACACTACAGAAAACATGGCATGCAAAACAAAACTTCAGAGTTACGACCAAACGTGGGCAAGCCAATGCACCACCGGCTACACAATCATCCAACAGCACGATGCCCAAGTGGTGCCCATCCTTTCGCCTGGCCAAACACCTCAGCCACCACCACCGTGAGTCTTCTGGATCCTCGCCGGAGAACCGCCATCACATTTTCCTTCTGCAAGTCGGACCGGTCATCAATATACTGACATATTAAATGAATGACACTAACAATATCATTCGGGTACTTTTTTTTATGAAAGCACACTTTGTTGCGTGTCTTCCGGATAGCCTATATAACATGAGCCGTCCCCACTACAGTGTTTTCCTTCTCTTTGGAGGAAAACTTTAGATCATTGTCAAGCATTGATCAAAGCTAGCAAGGGTTGATGCAACTTTAAAAGTGCATTGTACAATCCCCCGGATGAACCTAGCTACTGAACTCCCAAAAACAGATGGTCAGTAGATTCATCTTGCAACTTTTTTCTCCAACCCACCACGATTTAGTAGGGTATCTGTAGTTCAGATGCTTAAGAACCAGCCATGAGAAAGCAATAATCATTGGTGAAATCTTAACCTTCCAAAGGAAACGACAACCATCAAAGGGCGAGTGTGAATAATTTTGTTGATACAAGGATTTAACAATAAATCCTTTAGTTGGGTTAGGCATATAAATGAGTATATATCTTTGCCTCCTCAGAGGGAGAAATCTGACACAAGATCCTTCAAAGCAACTCATTGTTCTAGGAAACACCTCACATAGCTCTTCTAAAACTCAAACACTGACAAGCACTCATGATTACCTTATCAACCATAATATTCAATGAGAAAGTAAACACATCAAATCTACTAAACCTAGTAGCCAAGGATTGATCTCCAATCCAAAGATCCTCCCAGATTCTAGTAGCCTTACCATCATGGACTTCTTTTCTACAAAAGGTATAGAACAGACGTCCATTAAGGCATTTCAAAATTGGGACTTGCTAAACAAAATGTTGGCTTTTGACAAGGTCTGCCTTCTGAGATATTTCTTAAAGAGCAACTCTCGACAAATGACATTTTCCATGACCATTTTCCAAGAAGGGCTATGTTTCATAAACTCAAGGTTTACAACCCTTTAGGTACTCCATAGAAAGATAGCAAGTAGAGAGGTTTCTTACTAAGAGAGGAGCAAGGTCAGCCTACCTCAAATGAGAAGTAGCTTCCCTTGCCAAAATTTAAGTTTCTTCTTTATCCCATCCTCAACAGATTTACAATCTTTATTTAGGATCCTAACACTACTAACTGGAATGCCTTGATATTTAATAGGCAACTGACCAACCTGACAAGTGAAAATATTCTCATAAATGCTCTTTTAACAACATCTGCAGAGCAATAAACCTCACTTTTGTGAATTTTTTTAACCCAGTTATTCAAAGAGACATAAAAATAATTTTAAATTACTAGCATTCTCATCCCCTTCCTTTAGGAGAAACAGTGTATCATCTACATATTGCAGGATATCATGTCCATTTTCCTGAAGGTCAGAGGCTAAACCTCTAATGAACCCAACCCCACTGCCCCTTATGAATCAACTAAGCAAGTGTATCCACTCCAATATTAAATAGAAGGGGTGGTAAGGAACACCTTGCCTCACACCTTTATAAGTTGTGAAGTAAGGTCCAAGCTCATTTTTTACTTTGACACAAACTTTACCATTCACCATAATTTTCTTGATTAAACCGATAGTTTTATCACCAAAACCTTCAAGCTTCATTATTTTATAGAAAAATTTCAGCTAATACTATAATAGGCTTTCTTAAAAAATATACTTAAAAGAGAACCCCTAATTGTTTTCAAACATGCACGTGATGCAAGGTTTCATGTAAAATCAGCCCCCTCCATAATATTCCTACCTTTCATGAATGGAGCTTGTAGGAAATCGTTGTTCTTCTTAGCACATTCATTCGTCTTGCCGTTGCACCTTTAATTACAAGTTTAAAGCTAGAATTGAGCAAGCAGATGTGTCTAAATTGCTCAATTTTGTTAGCTCCAACAACCTTAGGGATTCGAAAAATGGTGTTGTAGTTCAACCTTTAGACATCCAGTTTACCTTGACAAAAATCATCAAAGAACATTTTCATAGGATTTTTAATAATTACCCAAAAATGGTGGTAAAACTCAGTTGCGAGCCCAATAGGCCCAGGGGCTTGTTATTATCAACAGAAAAGACAAGGGCATTAATCTTCTAGAGAGAATGGGCCGCTATGTAACTATTATTATTATTATTATTATTATTATTATTATTATTATTATTATTATTATTATTATTATTATTATTATTATTATTATTATTATTTATTACTCTAGATGAAATTATTAATGTCATCCTCAATCACATGATTCAAGTAAAAGTTGACATCAATATTATTACTAACTCCAGATCCAAAGAGTTTTTTTTATAATTCGCAAAAAGAGTTTTTTTTATAAAACTAAGCTATAAGTTTCATAAGATTAGCTTAACCTTCAATGATGTTATCACCAACATTGAGTGAAAAAATGGCCTTCTTTCTCATCCTTTCATTGGCTTTACACATAATTTTTTTAGTGTTGCAATGACCTAATTTTAAATCCTTATCCTTTGGCTCTCCAGATCCACTCGATCTCGTCCTCTTTCATTATGATTTTTAGCTCATATTTTGTAGAGATTTTTTTGCTGGGTCTCATAAGCATCGTTGTCCTCGTTCAACCATGGAGTGGCACATCGGATGTAATAAATGACAGTAACTGGCCTGTGACTCCGAAAGGTCAAAGTCGTCTCCCGAGAATTTTCGTCCGATGACCACCATGAACGTGACAACGGCATTAAGATACGACACGTCAGCGATCAAGCTCTGGCCAACCTCTCCGCCGATTCTTCATCGAGCATAGCCAATGCATCCATCCACCATGGCCGCCACCGCCAGGGAAGCAAGCACCGCAGGTTCGTCGTCGCCGCGCACCAGCTTCGTCGCGGACTCCCTGATCCTCCCCACGCGCAACGGCAGGCTCTTCGCGTCCGCCTTCGCGCTCGTCTACGTCCACACCTTCGTCTCCCTCTCCGTCGCCGTCCTCTACGCCCACCCCCTCGCCACCGCCGTCCTCCTCCGCGTGTACTCGCTGGTCAGGGACAACGACGGTGGCCCCGGGAGGAGCCAGCACGTCGTCTACGCGTCGGAAAGCGACAACGAGATCCGGGGACACGCCAAGAAGCTGCTCGTCGTCTACCTCGCGTACCTCGCCAGCCAGCTCGCCACGCGGGTCGCCGTCGCGCTCGCCGCCTCCGCGACGTGTCGGGGTGACCGGCGCCCGCGCTCGCTGGCCGAGCTCGTCCGCGGCAAGGCGGCAGCGGGGAGGGTCCGCGGCACCTTGGCCACCGCCGCCCTCGTCGCCGTCGTCGAGCACGCGTCGTTGGCGGCTCTTCTCGCGTCGTGCCTCGCCCTCGCGTCGTGGCGCTGGTGGACGAGCGGTGCCGCTGCCCGGTCGGACGCCGCAGCGTCTTTTGTGACGGGCTACGTGCTGTTCCTCCTCCTCCTCCTTCTCCTCTCGCACCTCTTCCTCGCCGCGGTGTTCCAAGTGGCGATCGCCGCGTCGGCGGCAGATGAAGGTTACGGGGAAGGCGGAACACGCGCTGCTTTCCGGCGGGCGTGGCGGCTCATGGCCGAGAGGGCGAGGAGGAAGGAGGCCGCCGTGATGGTGGTCGTGGCGAGCCTCCTTCCGGTTGCCATCTCCCCGGCGTACGCGTTTGCCATGTACTGTTCTCAGAGGGCACCCGATGCCGGTATCATCGGTGTCCTCCATGGATATCTTCTCCCGTCCGTCGGCGTGCAGCTCTTGTCCACGGTGGCGGCCGCGATGTTCTACCACCGGTGCATGGAGCATCATCATGATCCGGCTGTCCTTCAACCGAGGACGAAACTAGCTATAGCTAAATCCTCCGTGATTGATTAAGCAATGTGATACTCATCTTGAATTTACAATTTTACATGTAAAGCACGATTAGTTCTTACAGTATGATTGATATTTAAAAGTTCAAAAAATAATATATCCTTTTTTGCGATATTCTTTTATAAATAAAAACGAGCCGGCTCTCCAGTTTGCATTAGAAAAAACCCGCCAGTAACAGAGTTCAGCACATCAAAATGTAGAGACAAAAGGTAGAGTGAGTAAGCAGCAGAGCTAAACTACTTATTACAGTTCAACACAATACATCATCGCATTCCAAGTATCCGAATTGCAGCCGCTCATCCATGCTTCCTTTGCATATGCTTCTTACGCCACCACATTCAGCATTCGAGCTCTTTGATTAATTTGGCTATTTCTTCAATGAAGTTTTTTCTCTTTGACGCTGACTATGGCAGGCTTGTGCCGGCCTGAACTTGTATTGAAGATCAGAGGAGAAACCTACAGAACAGCGATACAAAGTTATCTGCTAATTACAGGGTTGTTGAACGCACCCCAACAGAAGAAAGGCTAAATTCTCTCAGATAAATGAAACAACATCGACCCCCAATCTCGGAGAAGAATAGCTTGTACATCATTGGGGCATCGATTAGGGCACGTATAGTTGTAGTAGGGCGGTATGCAAGACCTCCATGCGAGAGCCTCAAATTTCCCTCTGGGCAAGGGCAATGTACCACCACGCCCCGAGATGATTTCCTGCACACTGATCTTGGGGACTTGCTCACTTGAATCTGACTGGTGATGGCTGCAAATCAAGAAATATTTGCAGCTCCTTCCCAGCCTCCAATAATACCGCTGTCCATCTTCGTGCCTTTCTAGTTTCTATACGCTCTCACGCTTCCAAGGACTGCACGCCAGAATCCGGGACTGAAGTTATCTCGCAGTAACCCGGCAACCATATGCGCGCTGATCAAACACTGTCTATGCTCCGAAGCGATCTCCATGGCCATCGCTGCCATGCTTCGGTGCTCGCCAGGGTTCGCGCTTCCGAACGCGAGCGACTTGAAGAGATACCAGTAGGCTTCTCGAGGGACACGGCCCAGTGAAAGCGCTCCCGTCGTTCCAAGATCCACTATTCTGACTGACCGACCGGTGACTATGATTTTACTCCCACCGCAAGGTGCCATACGGGTGACGCACGATTTCAGACTTCTCCATGCTCCCTCGTTGATGTCCTTGGCGGTTTCGACAATGATCAGAAACCTGGTGTGAGACTGAGTGGCGTGATTCTGATGTCTGACTTTGAAGTTGCTGCCCCCTCTCAAGTCGGTCACTCCTTCATCCTCAAGGCTGCCTTCTGGAAAGAAGAGGATCGTCGAGAAGCGACTGCGCACATTTTCATCCCTGCAGACATGCTCAACAAGAGTGGTTGGACCGACGATCGGAAGTACAGCCAAGATCGGAGTAGCAGCAGGATGGAGCAAGAAATCCAGGACCCGTTCCCGTTCCGTTTGGCGACCAAACATGCACTTCTCCAAGAGCAAATATGCGGCGTATGGTTGGCGGAGTACCCGAGGATACGACTCCAAGAAGAGAAGGAACTCCTTCATACCTGCATCCATGGTGTCTTCAAGAGAAGAAACCACACGTTGCAGCTCTTCTCGTATGCTGTTCTTTGCACCGAACATTAACACTCCTGCTGCTTCTCTGTTGCTGCTGCTACCACCGCCACCGGCACCACCGGAGAAACGAAGCCGTTTGGCGAGACTACTGGATTCAGACAGCAGAGCAGCAGTCAGTGGGTGGCTCACCCCCTCCTCATCTTCAAGGGCGGCTTGGAAGCTCAGGGCATCAAGAATGTAGCGGCCTCTGTACATTCCTTGCCTCAGCGTCTTCAGCTGACGGAGCATCCCCTGGTTGGTGATGCGCCGTCCCTCGGCATCCTCGACGACGGTGTCGATTCTCTGGACGACTCGCTGCAGCCTCTGGAGAATCATGTCGATGCCAGGCTGCTGCCGGAAGTACTTGCCGATCACGAACGACGCCGACCTGCTGACGAGGTCACCTAGGATTGCGGAGACGAGGATGTCCATTGTTATGTGAACCTCCTTGACTCCAGCACCAGGCGTGGTACTGCGACGGAAGATGGCGGGGTAAACAGCAACGAGTGCTAGCTGCTGGGTGGTGTCAGGTTTGGGGAAGGTGTTTGGACCTGACTAAAGACTCGCAGAGGCTTCTGGATTGAAGGTTTGAAGGTGACTGCTTGACTGATGACTGCAATTAGTGGAGCACAATGCTGGACGAATCAACACGCCATAAGACGTGTGGAATTTAGTTGTCGCTAGTTTGACTGATTCTTGGCTAAAGAACAGGTGGCATTACTTCCTTTTCCTTTATGTATTTGTATTTATTGCGGGAAAATCTACCCTGAAGCTGACATGACAGACAAAATCTGAATCTAATAGTACTATTTTATTTAGAGGGAGCAACTTTTAGTTACTATGGCCGTGTTCGGTAATACTCCGCTCCTTCACCAGGGAGCGGAGCCGGCGGAGCGCCCATTTGGCTGCTTGCTCAAATTACACTAAATGCCGCTCCGCTCCCGCAGCGGAGTTAGAAGCGGAGAGTTTCTGAAAGACCCTTATATATGCCCTATGTAATCCAAGCATTTGCATCTCCAGGGAACATGTTTAATTCACGCATGTTATAGTAGTCTCACTAGCACTGTATATGCCCCCACACCCAAGGGCTTCCCTCACTGTATATGCTCTGCCCTGCCTCCGGTGGTATGGCCATGATTTTTTTAGAAAAGCAAATACACTGCTTTACAACAAAAATTCAAATGTATAAGATGAGGAATTTAATCTCAAACCTTCAATTTATGATTGAAGGTCTGAAGAACAGAACAAACTTGACATACAAACATAAATCAAGAAAATGGATATAGGATGCAGGTATAGGCTGTAAGAAATAGTTGCCAGCTCTTCACCATTTGCCAGCCCGTACCA